AGTGACAATCCAAACAGCAACAGCAAAACATTTAACTCAGTCAGAATGCATTAATGGTAAATCAAAAAAGATAAAGCAATTAGAAGAGATAAGGAGCCGTGGATAAGGACCTGTAAACAAAGAAGCAAAAGGCCGGTCTAACAGCAAACAGGAACTTCCAGAGCTAAAAGAAGAAAAGAGACGCCAGTGTGTAAGCGCAAAAACCATTTGAGGTTGGTTCCAAACGTGAGTCAGTCCCCATAGACTCCCACTTTAAAATGCCCAATGCAAAGCATTAAAATCATTAAAATGTTTATAGTCTGTTTATGGTCCATCGGCTAAGCCCATTCTCTACTAATTGGAGTCACTGAACTGGATCTCTCCACTGTGTTTATGCTGTTTGGAGCACCTTTAATAGAATTGTCTAACACATAAAATAGCTGTGTGGTACAAACCAACCAAGAAATCTCTCACTCCACCCTTTTGTCTACATATCATTAATTCTGGGTCCAGAAACCTAGTATAGCAAAAATACTGAGTCCAAACCAATGAACGCCTTTATGGTGTCCGTCTTTTACACAGTACTGACATAAAGCTATGGACCTTTTCAGGATTTAGGGTGGCATGATTGTAAGCATTAGTTAAAAGAACTGCTAAAAGGATCTGAGCAGAATTTACTCAGCTGGTTAGTTGAGTTTCTCCAGATGTCTGATGTGTGAGTCGGAGGTGTGGATACACAGAGCTACCATTACTGGTCGTGCTAACTGCACTGACTCTCTTTCTCTTTGGACCAAAAAATGACATTTCATCTGCTACAGTTCACCTTCCCTCTGTCTTCAGGCTTTAGAAGATCTGGACTGTGACCGGAGACTTTGCACTGGCAGGTCTTTTTATTAGATGTGACCAGCTGATTGGTAACGATCATGTCTTAAATCAGAAATTATATTTTAGTGGATGTTTAGAACAGAGAATGAGCACTAGAGGAAGAGGACTTTTCATTTTCTTATTTTGTTTGTTCATCTTTTTTCTGACTGCAGCTTTAATCATGCATGCCACATGCTCCGTCCAGGGTAACCATAAATGGGACAACTATAAAGTGAATATAGGGACTTTTTCAATTTTAAATGTCCTTTACCAAAGTTTCTTTCATCACGCTGCATTGTAACCAGTGCAGTTTCATTCAGGGTGGTTGGACGTTATAAGGCAGTCATAAGAAAAAGAAAGTCAATTCTAAGGTTTTTATGTATCAGGAAAAAATGTTAAAAATAATCTAGGACTTAGCTGCTCTTAAAATCGCTCAAGTGCTTCGTCAGATGAACAGTTTTTAGTCCGCCCCTCTGTTACTGACCACATTTATTTTGTCCTGATAAGTAAAACCTTAGATTTGATACTTTCTTTTTCATGGCTGTAGATTGAGTGAGAATTGTTACACTTTAACGAATTCCTCTCTGCCAACACTACTGAGTTAAAGCATAGCTTTTTATAAACTCAAGCTTAAGTAGAATAAATAAATGTGTCAGACACGCCCTGACATCACTGCCAGGGTTTGTGTCGAGATGACATTCAATAGTGATCGTGGAGGCGAACTGAGTGTTTCAGATTGTCGAATATTTATAGAAAACACCAGTTGGAGGACACATTGACTGACTGGGATATGCTATATGTAGGTTAGTTAGATGGTTTTGTGAACATGACTTTTCATTCGAAGGTTACACGCAATGTCGCGATTCTTTAAAGAAATTTCCGACACCTTTTTGAATATAAACGGCTCGTTAAATCGCAGCTAACAGGTGAGACTAAAACCTACTTGTTACCTTTTTCTAACCTGCTCTGGTGCTATAGGAGAGCTGTGGGTGTCCACACAGAAGCCCTTGCCTTATGGTTTTTAGTCAGTTCATCAACTTCTTGAAGAGTTCAAAACACAGACACACCCTGAGAGCACACAGACCCGCATCCACACTTACAGAAAGCACACACAGTGCAGCACCACTCAGCCTCGCTGGAGGGAATTCAAACTTTTGAGGCGATTTCATTACGGCAGCGAGCACCGACAACCCTGCAGACTGTCTACGGGCTTTTTAGCTGCAGCCGCTTTATCTCTGCGTTTCATATACAGATAAAAAAATATATATATATACTCTTTACTGTGCCTGTGGTTGTGGTGAAAGGTAGCTTTGTGCAGTGTTTACCAAGTGTGTGTGTGCGTGTGTGTGTGTTGACTGGAGAAGGTACAGTAAAGGGGGCGTGGGGGGGCTGTGATGTAGGTAGAGTTGTTGCATTTGTTGTTGGGTGTAACCGTTTCTGATTTTAATTACTGGTTATTAGAAGAAAACAAGCCAAGTCCTGATTGTCTGACATATGCTTTATATTAGTAACTGTTTTATCTATTTTTGTATCAGCAGCCGGGAGAAGAAAATGTGTCAAGCCAGTTATTAGTGAATCAAATATTAACCGACTCCGTGAGCAATACTGTTCTGGATTGCTACTCTTTATGATTCAGTTTGTTTACGTGGCGGGAAAGCAACACACGTCTTATAGCTCAGGTCTTATTTACGTTCCCTTTTCTAAAAGCAGAGAGGGGTGTGATGGAGACCGGCTGAGTTCATCTCAAAGCAATCTGTCAAGACTTCTCAGCTTTGATGCTTTCTAACAGCTTGAAACAGAAGCACAGCCTTTACAGCACAACAATGTGAAAGACCAAAGCTCATTTGGAAGTGTAGAGATGCACCTGTAATCTGAATCCAAAAGGTTTTTATTTTATGGGATCAGCCTGGAGCCTTTGAGTGAATTTGTATAGTGTGATATTTGATTACCTGCAGGGGGGAGAAAAAGGGGGTGTGTGGAATTCAACAGAAGACGTGCAGGGATATATTAAAGTGGGATCACAGGCCCCATAGTTAATAATATTACAATATTATTATCAGTAAAGTAACAGATGAAAAATATTAACACTGCTGGGAAAAAAAATCCTCTTCTCTGAAAATATAATTATGCTGGAGAGAACTAGTACCTGAAAACCAACTGGAAATGTTATCCGCAACACTTGATCCATGATTCATGTTCCCTCCAAATACGGAAGCAAAAGAAGGCCAAAACATTTGACTTCTAGATACTGTTACGTTTATAGATTTGAAAAAATGAAAATGCTTTCACGTTGTAATACTTCAGAAATGTTGTTAAAGTGTTTTTAGAGTTTGCAAAAACAGGAAAGCAATACTATCACAAAAGGAACAACATCATACAATCTGGACTGGCTTTAGCTCTGATGACAGCATTCAACGTGGGATCATTTTGATACATTTATCCAGCATTTTTTTCCATCTAGAACTGCATTAATTTCTCACTATTATCTTGTTTGACGATGGGAGAGGCAGAAATCCCAAATATTCTCAGTGGCCTTAAGATCTGGACTCTGTTGTGGTCGATATGTATTCAATTCAATTCAATTCAATTCAATTTTATTTATATAGCGCCAAATCACAACAAAAGTCGCCTCAAGGCGCTTCATAGATACAGAGAAAAACCCAACAATCATATGACCCCCTATGAGCAGCACTTTGGCGACAGTGGGAAGGAAAAACTCCCTTTTAACAGGAAGAAACCTCCGGCAGAACCAGGCTCAGGGAGGGGCGGGGCCATCTGCTGCGACCGGTTGGGGTGAGAGAAGGAAGACAGGATAAAGACATAATGTGGAAGAGAGACAGAGGTTAATAACAGATATGATTCAATGCAGAGAGGTCTGTTAATACATAGTGAGTGAGAAAGGTGACTGGAAAGGAAAAACTCAATGCATCATGGGAATCCCCCGGCAGCCTTGGTTTTCACTACTTTGTATGTGAAAACCAAGTCACACGTTTTCTCCCTGAGCCCCTCTTTCGCAATCTGAGCCCAATGAAGCCTGCCATGGTCGTCTTTGAACATGCCCGTGACATCAGGGGAGAAAAACATCCATTGATGGAAAAACCTGGTCGTTCACTATGTTAAAGCTGTCAGTATATCAGCATATATATGTATCAGTATATTCAGGAAGTCAGCTAACCTCATTTTTTTAAACGTACAATTCGCTGAACGTAAACCTGACCAACTGAGGCAAACCCCAGTCACAGCACTGCCCACACAGGCTTGCCCAGCAGGTACGAGGCATGATGGGCGCATGACTTCATCCACCCCTCGTTAGTTAGCCATAAGTCTGGAGCAAGGTAAATCTGGACCACATGACCTTTTACCATTGCCCCAGAGTCCAGTCCTTATGATCCCAGCAACGTGCAGCCCATTTTTCTGATTAGCCACACAGATAAGTGGTTTTCTTAAGACTACACAGCTGTGTAGTTCTCTTAATTTCATATCTATGATGACTGTGGTTGATTCTGATTTCACCAAGTTTTTAAGTGATTGTGATCACGATCAGTCAAGTTTTTTTTTTACATACATTTCTTAACCCGGCTTTAGTACTTTCAGCTTCTCCAAAGTTGTTTTCCTTGCTTGTTGGAGGCCAATAATTTGACCCCTCTGCAATAAAGCAGTGCATTTTTATTTTTTTATTTATTTTAAAAGAGAATCTACTAATTTCATCAACTGAAACAAACATTTTTGTCCTCAAGCAGCTGCTCGAGGACCTGAGGGCCAACTACTTAATCTGCTGCCAGCATGTGAGACCATGAAGTGCTTTAGAAACAAGTGAAAATACTTGAAAGTCAATTTAAAATGCAGAATTTAAAGTTTTAGGTTCGTTCAGGGTCGTTTGAAGAAGTTTAGATGTACAACAGCAAATTTTTGACACATGAGTTTTCTGTTTAATGTAGTAAAATAGTAAAAAGTAATATTTCCAATCAGGGAATTAAAAACAGATCTCTGTACGTTTAAATTCAGTGCAGTGTACGTATTTAAACTCTGCTGGTCTTCTTTTGCTTCCGTACCAAACGACAGAAACCTGTTTAACCTTTGACGAGCTCTGAATGTGTTAATCTTTCACAGGCTGCGTTCCACTAACGTGTTCGGACTTGTACGTTTACGCTTTGCTGCGTTGTTTCTTACGCTTTCATTTAATTGACAAGTTTTTAAGAATTTTCTGGTTTTTAAGGCTGGCTTTAATTTGTGATTTGATTTGATTTTTTAGAAACTACCTATGCCACAGAGGCATCGGTGCCTTACTGTTTTTCACTCAGCAACCTTGTGTCACAGTGTCTTAACGTACCTGTAAATGTATTTTTCTCCTGTACTTTGGACTGACTTTGATTTGTAAACTGTCTTATTAATTGACTTCTGATAGAGAATTTCTATGTGATGATATTGTTTAAAAAAGAAAAACAAAACAAAGAAACATCATCATGTAAGAGTTTTTTTTTTAATTGAATTGTGTGTTGCATTTGAATCAATGTCCTAAAATTTGCCTTAAATTGCATTTCCACAAAATAACCAACAGGTGGAGCAACCATTGCATCCTGTTTCTTTTTTTTTTTGTCAATGTTTGAACTTCACTTACTTTATAAACTAACTTAACTCTCCTCCGTTAAATGTAAACCACCGAAATTTGCATGAATTCAAAATAAGCGTGGCGGCGTTGTTTCTCGAAATCAGACTGCCTGCAGCTCATGCGGAGAGCGGCTCACTTGTACAGTGGCATCTTTTGATGAACGTTTCTGCCCCACAGGCAAAGATATCATAGCTACACCCAAGTGTACGTCTAAATACCTCTCTGTTGCAGAAATCCTAAAAATGGCACAGAAATGGAACGTTAAAAAACCCAAACACATCTTTAGGTGGATATCTGTTACTCTACACCTAAATATGTTTGCACTTGTTGTACAAGAGTGTAATTAATCCCAGCTTCATTTTTATTGCACAGACAGACAACTTTAAAGCCCTCCCCCCTCTTGTCGGGGACTTTGCTGTGGTGAAGTGACACCTCTGCTTTGTGTGATCCTGACACCTAGCAGTAGTTTGAGCTACGTATAAAAAGAAGGTAAAGAGAGAGAAAACAAGATCAGAGATACAAGGTTTTCACAATTAACTGTGTTCCCCGACACGTTCCACAGCTGAACGCAGAACAAAGCGCTCTCAGGGAGAAACACTGGAAAATAAGATTCAGTGGCTGCTGTGGAATCAAAGGGGAAATGCATAACAGATGAGAGGGGCTCGCTCCCTCCCCTCTCTTTGTCGGTCACATCCCTGCAGAGCAGATCTTTCAACACACAACCTGTCTGGAAAAAAAAAAAAGCTGTTAGAATCCTTCAGGTGCTGTCGGAAATTATATTATTACAGCCAGAGGGCACGTGGACGTTTGAGAAAGTAAATGAAGTCAATGGTGTAGCCAATAAAAACAATAAGCAACTGCCAGGATGGCTGAGCAATAAGTAGTCCTTCAAAACAAACAAAAGAGGCATCGATTTGCTGACATTAGTTAAACTTAACTGAAGCTGAAGGAGATTTTAGTAAGTAGAAGAGAAAGTAGTTCTTCAGGCAGATATGAACGAAAGCATCCAAACTTACAAAAAGGCACGCACACTGCTGCAGCACTTGGCTTCATTAACTATAATCCAAACACTGAGGTGATTTCATTTCTCCAGCGAGCATCAACAGCCCTGCAGAGTGTCTGCAGAATACCAACATTTGATGGCTCCAGGCAAAAGCCGAAGTACACGCTTTTTAGAGACCAGGGGATTATGTAAAGTGGTTAATAAAGAAAATATTAAGTAGATTAAGAAATACCCATTGTCTGCAACTTGGATTCAAATTATTCTCAACTACTGATTAACAGGTTTAAATTTGAGCCTGAGGGATGCTGGATTATTGGGGCCAAGGTGGATGTTTATGCTACATATAATATACTTATAAGGAAAGTAATGATTGTTTAGAAACTAGTCTCTAACTTGCACAATAATTAGCTAATATCTTCTTCTACCTTATCCTCTGAAAAACAAAAGCCATGCAAAAAAAAATACATATATATATATATATATATATTTTAAATTCACAATATTTTTCAATGACGTATTTGTTTATTGAAGGAACTAAGAAAAGGAACTTGGGACACCGGCATCCTTGGACAGTATTTGTACTTTATTACAACATGTTACAGAATTTTACCCATGTGTCTGTCTTACACTGGTCAGATTATCCAGTGAGCATTCTGAGCACAGAAAGCAGCACGTGAAATCTATGATTTGGTGTTTTTATAACCAAAAGTATTTGCATATTTATATTTTCGTGTCATCCCATATACTGATGGAGTAAAAGGACTGAGACGGGGAATAAACAGCAGCAGTAGCTGCACATAATCCTGATGAAAAACAATAAAAAAGCACAAGCTGTTTCATTTTCCACTTAATAACAGATACTTTTTTTGGTTCTGCCTTTACAACGGTCTTAATTCTTCATAGCATGGATTCAACAAGGTTCTGGAAACGTTCCTCTCAGACTTTGGTCCATGTTCCCACGATAGCATCACAAAGCTGCAGCTGATTTGTTACCACTTTGAGATGATTGGAGCTTTGTGACACGGCGTCGCATCCTGCTGGAAGAATCCACTACTAGAAGATGGTAGACCGTGGTGGTAAAGGGACGCACACAGTCAACAACAATATGCAGGTAGACTGTGATGTTTAAAAGATCCCCAGTTGGTACTAAGTGTGCCAAAAAATATGATTACAGTAGCAGCAGCACTGTAAGCCACTGATACAAGGCACGATGGATTTATTCTTTCATGTTGTTTGTACCACATGCTGCCCCTGCCATCCAAATGTTCCAGCAAAAATCGCCACTGTGTGTGTACAGTTGGCATCAGCTTCCTGTTCTGTGCTGGCAGGTGACACCTAGTGTGCTCTTCTGCAGCTCTAGTGCAGCTGCTTCAATGTTTTACGGTGTGTTATGTGTTCAGAGATGCTCTTCTGCAGAACTTTGTTGTAACTTGTGGTTATCTGACTTGCTTTTGCCTTCTTATCAGCTCAAAGCAATCTGGCCATTTTCCTGTAACCTTTGGTATCTTCCAGAGAAGTGCTGCTCACTGGATATTTTCTCTTTCTCTGACCGTTTTCTGAAAACGTTAGAGATGACCGTGCTGGGAAATTACAGTAGATCAGCAGTTTCTGAAACACTCAGACCAGCCCATCTGGCACAAACAACCACGCCACGTTCAAACTCACTTAAATTACCTTTCTTCCTCATTCTGATGGTGGCTTTGAACTTCGGCAGGTCGTCTCGACCACGTGGACATGCCATTGGAATTGGCTGACTTTTAATTTGTACCCAGGGATCCCCCACATAACAACCTATCGCGTGTTAATAAAAACGCTCTTCTGTGGGTGCTTTTTGCAAAAATAATATAAAATTAATCGACATACAATAACGCGGGCGCGATAAGTCACTCAGAGCGGGAGAGTGGGGGAAGTTCCGAGCAGGCCGTGAACTCCTCAGCAGTACTGGTCGGGATGGAGCTGCGGCGCTGCTGCTGTTGTTTTCTCTCCGCCGCACGTTCATATTAACTGTCAACCGACGGGAGCAGCTCGGGACCCTCTGCGCGGAGAAGCACCGTGAATGGACTACCACAGAGAGAGCTGGGGCTCGCCTTTATCCCTCCGCCGAAGAGAAGACAAGAAAACATCAAATAAAACAGCTGCAGCATCTGTCAACCTTTGCAGTCTAGGAAAACGCGCGGGTGCAGTAAGAAAAACGGCGCGCGCTCACTGATTAGTATGTAGACAAGTCGCTAATTAACTGGTAATTACACAAGTAGTATTTAAACCCGCCTGTGCGCCTCGCGTGTCTGCCAGGAGTCTAAAATTAGACCGAGGCAGAGCCGCCGGAGGACGCGGTAGTATTTATTTAGTAGTTGGTTGTTGTTTTTTTCGTTTTTCATTAACGCACCTTGGATTCCTGCCGTTACCACAAAGCAAGTGTGGAGCCGAGGACGAGGTCCAAACAATTCAAGTCAGGTAAGATCATATCTGCTCGCTTTAATGTGTGAACGTGCTCAGGATTCCCGGCGCTGGAAAGTAAAAGTAGGCTATTAAAATAAAGTAGTAAACGGTTCGTTTTTGAATCACTGCGCGGTCCTTGTTTTCAGTCTGCTTGTTAAACAGTAGCTTATGATTTTGTTTTAATGTGCTACATGTTAAGTTGTGAATGCAAAATGTTTACTGAAACTGTTTTTGTGCGTCCTCCTGATTTTAACCACTTGAGTAAACTGTTGGATAAACCTAATTTGGATCTTGCTCCATGCGGGACTAATGAGAATCGGGGCGCTCAATAGCTCGCTGGTGTGACATGACGGACACCCAGGTCCTACACATTACGCAGGCTGACATAACCAGCCACCCTCCTGGCACCCATCCAGCCTCACTTCATTATTTTTGTGGCGACTGCTCTTGGCTGCAAATCCTGAAGTGGCGGTTGCCTGTATTACTGCTGCCTTCTGAAAGGACAGGCTTTTAGGCGATTTAGCTCAATCCTGATCTTCTGTTGTCTCCTTGATGTCATTTCTGTGCTTTCTCTGGCTTAGAGTCACAAGCATCCACTGCTCCCAGGGTGGACTATTAACACCCTGTTAGCCCCAGATGGGATTAAAAAATTCCAGCCTGGCATGCTAATGGAGTGAAGGCAATAAATAAACATCATCTCCCTCCGCCTTTCTGTATCTGCTGTTTTGGTGAAATAAAGGCTTCGAGTGCAGCCAGCTGGTAATAGGGTTGGATGCGCTTCACCTCCTCTCGCTGCCAACAACATCCGGAGTCACTTGCCAGGAATTCCACCTTTGCTATTTGTTTCCCTTGGAGGGGGGTGAAAAGTGCTATGTGGAATATAGTGAAGCACGCAACAGGGAGAAACATCCAGGTCAGACAGTACAGACGAGAGGGGCTGTAACAAGAGGAAGCGTTGGGGCTTCTGCAGCACGGTGGACGGCTTCTTGGCATCCAGCTCGGGCAAGTCCGATGCCAGATTCCTTCTCTTTGCCGCCTGCCAGAGCCCCTCCACCCCACCGTCTTTATCAAAAGCCTCACTGTGATTTCCCCCTTTCAGTTCTGTTGCTGAGCTATCAATCATATCTCGCTCTCAGCAGACTCTTCTGCTCATTAAGGATGTGAACCTGTAGGTAGCCTGCAGCCCCCCCAGCTATTCATCTCCCTCAGTGGGGCGCAGAGACTCACATCTGGAGCAGCATTGCAAAACATGGCTCTTAGCAGACATGTAGTGTACGCTTAAGGAGATTCAGCGCACTGGTGCCAAGCATAAAATTAACAAGTGTGCGGCTCATACACAAACCTGCACTGGTATGTAATTAGGCAGAAAAGCAGAAAAAGGATAGATGTAGTGGATTATAGAGACTCCACTGCAAAGGAAAGTCTGGAAAAATAATGCTGAAGGGACGTCAGTGGTGATGATAGCTGGCTGGCTTCACATCATCCCCTTTGTCCCTCTCTTTCCCTGCTCTGTTTTGTGTAAAAGGTCTCAGCCAAGACAAGTTGAGCTGCTTTAGTGAGTGTTTTTGTGTGTGTGTCAGGACCGCAGGGTGTAGCCCCAGACTTTTTTTTTTTCTTCCCCCCCTTCAGGCACAGCTTTCCCATCATGAATGCTCCTTTGTGCTCCAGAATGACACACAAGGACGGAGAGCAACTTCAGAGGAAAGGATAACGCTTAAGTTTGTTTCTGCACAATTAAGTGTAAAAATAGAGGAAGGTGTGACACGGCTCTCGCTTATAGCAAGGAGCTCACGGGCAGTATTTACAGCCTGAGATCCTGCGGCTCAAGAGGAATTTTCTCAAAGGTTTCTTTCAGTGCTTTAGTGTGGGTGTCTGGGGTGAATTTAGACCTGACAGAATTAATGCAACATGTACAAACACTGCTTCAAAATGCCTCGCATTCCAGAAAGGAAAAGTAGTTAATCACTTATCATAACTGCTAACACATGTGCAGTCTTGGAGGATTTCACTCCCGTTTTTTATTAGCTTAAAAAAAATCACCTTTGGTTTCATGCACAGGTTTAGGAGGAAGAAGCAAAGTGGATTTGTTATACTGTCAACTGACAATGTGGTGGCTTTTCTTTTCTTTTTTGTACACAAACACACACGATGCCCTTGCTTGTCTTTAATGTGCGGCATGTCCACCTCTGGGAGCATCGGCAGTGACGTACTCACACACAACCCCGGCCCGTGAACCCTCACAGCCACAACAAGCCGTCCCCAGATAGTCCATAATGCAGCTTTCCTGTCACAACACATGTGTCACCGCTCAGCAAGAAGAGCGCCCGGCGAAAACCTCGAGGGCCCTGAACCCAGCTTAGTCACGCCACCGCGGCCAAGACGGCCCCTCTGATAGCTCCTGACAGGCTGCACGCTGGCACAAGCACAATCAAAGATGCAACGCAAAAGGAGGAAAAAAGCAAAGAAAGAAAATACTAGCGTAAGAGCAGAGGAGGCAGTTACTTGGGGAGCTGCGGTTTTTGACCTTGAAACAAACACCAGACAGAAATCATTTTTGCTTTCTGTAGCTGCTCGATAGAAAACGTAAATCTGGACCGAATAAAAAATAACTCCACCGCCTTAGAGTCTGCACAGCTCCAGCTCAGATGCTGGGAATTTTGCCTCGTGCTGTATTTCAATTTTAATTGGGACATTCAGAGTAGCTGGACTTATTTGTGATTTTTTTGTTGTATTGCCAGATGTGTACCACTGGTGAAATTCTGGTCATATATCAGTGTTTATTTTGGGGGCACAGGAGTCCTTTTTGTAACCATAACTGACCATTTTAAAGCCGACGTTGCATTACTAATGAATGTAACACCAAAAAGCATCCAGTATCTGCCCACGTCAGTCGACGAGGCCAGCGATACGAGCCCTGTTGACATGTGTCTCGGGGCTTTTTTAAACCTCTGCAAAAAACCTGTTGATTGACTTTTTGTTCACACCTCTGCAGCGTTTCTCTCTGATTTAGTCAGCATGGCTACTGCTTCTGTTTGACTGCGGTCCACTTCACTAGCAGGGGGCTAATTGCTTTCCATTTGAGTGTCTCAGTTTTGATTCATGGCTCACAGCGCCTTGTTGTTGCTATTCTGAAGGAGATCTTGATGTCATGAAAGCTATTATCTACTCTCTATCTGTTCCCTCTCGCTGCTTCACCCTCTGATGCCAGCACTCGCGCACACTATCCGCCCCCACTTCAACAGGCGCGTTGATGGGTCGTAGCTTCTCCATATTGAGAAGAAGTGGGCTGCGTGTTAGCTTACAGTTCTCAGTTAAAGTATGCTGATCACCCTCAGTTCATCCTCTCTCATAGAGTTTATTAGTCATCCTGCCACTCTCTGCCAGCTGGTATTAACCTGCAGTACTTATTTTTTATGCAAAGTGTGTCAGCATCTAAATCTCTGTTTATATTTTACGTATTTTTATTAAATAACATTCGTTTTTTAATGCATCGGGTATACTAATGATAGTGTTAAAAAGAAACAAAATGCTAATAATAATAGAAAAACACATTGTGGGTATTTCAATTGATTGATTAATAAGTTTTACTTTAAACTTTTCCACAATTAGTCCAATATTTCCGACTGATTTTATGAACGGCCTCACAGATGGGATTATGCTGGTTTTATTCATCCATTTTCTTCCTCTTATCCAGTTCAGGGTTGCTGAATTGGATAAGTGGGGGATGATAAATAGGATACACCCTGGATAGGTCACCAGTCTGGGATGAAGTTGGAAGCATGTTGGCTTTAAACTGGATAAAACAGCCACGCCAAAGGAGCTAATTAAAGCAGTCAGACGGTCACCACATTATAGCTGCTAGCTCAGACTTCCACACTGTTATTTGTTCCTCAATGGTTAACAATGACCATACAATGTGAGGTGTTCACAGCACTATGATCCCTTGTCCTTGTATACGGTTTTCCAGCCGCTTCTTTGTGCCAACGGGAGCCGGCTGAGGTGATGTGGGCATTGGGTCAGGGTGCCTCATGGGTGACTCCCTTTGAAGGTTTTCCATGAACAGCCGACTGGAGACTTTATTATTTATCTGGCCTCTGAACGCTTCAGAATCACCTGGGAGGAAGTGGAAAGTTTTGCTGGGGAGAAGGATGCCTCCAATATCCTGCTAGCCTGCGTTCAAAACGACCTGGCGTTGGATAAGTGGAAAATGATCGCTGACTCAAATGCAACTCCAAGTTCTTATAGTGGTCAATTATTTAGTGAGTTGAATTTTGAGGCAGACATGCTACTAAATTAACATTTTTAACATTACAACGGCAAAACAAGTCAACCCCAAAGCGATAGAAAGCCAGGATTTGTTGCATTCTTTTGTGTGTTTCGTGTATTAATCCGAGGAGCTCGTTGCTTCGCGTATATTTGAGTTTATTCTCTAATTTTTTGTCTCGCTGTATCACTTCATGTACAGTTTGTTTCTGTTGTTCTTTGTCACATTTTCTGATTCACCGACTCTCAGCTTCGCACTTTGAAGGTGCTATTTTGACTCTGTTACACAAACAGGTGGGTGGAAATGCAGTTAATGAAGCGCAGAATCAGTGCAAGCAGCTGCATCCTTTTGGAGTGACATTTATTGACTGTGTAAGCTCTCGTTAGTACACATTTCTGTATCCATATTATAGATGATGCTGTTTAAAGTTTTGAGTTGCCGAAAGGCTTTCTGGCTGCTTTTGTGCCACGTTTAATTGTACTTTATTTGCATTTGCAGTTAGATGCACATTTCTAGAAGCTTTCAGTATTTGAAAGCCTCTCTAGTGAAAGCGAGACTGCGGATAGAAAAGACCACGAGTTGTATTGATGCATCTGGCCAGGTATCTCTAGACACAACAGGTACTCCACATGTGACAGGTTTCAGTGCCGCTGTCCCCGTCACATCACATCAGCATTCAGTGTCTGTGTGTGAGCAGAGGCAGCAGGCATCACACTATAAAGAAAAGCAAGGGAGCAGCGAAGGCAGTGCC